TGATATATACTGTTTTTTTTTTTAAAATTAATTTTCATTTGAAATTTAGTGAATTTGTGTGTCTCTAGCTTTAGATGGACAGCACAGAAGCAGCACCATTTACCCTACTTGAAATTGTAGGTTTTTGGGAGGTTTTGAGTTGGATTCCTTGGAAAATAGCTAAATGGGTTGTTGATGAGGTACATTTGGTTTGGGATTGTAAACTGGTTGGTTAAGAAGCTCTCCTGTTAGTAAATTTGTAGGTTTTTGGGAGGTTTTGAGCTGGATTCCTTGGAAAATAGCTAAATGGGTTGTTGATGAGGTACATTTGGTTTGGGATTGTAAACCAGTTGGTTCAGAAGCTCTCCTGTTATGTAAATTTGTTGGTTTTTGGGAGGTTTTGAGTTGGATTCCTTGGAAAATAGCTAAATGGGTTGTTGATGAGGTACATTTGGTTTGGGATTGTAAACCGGTTGGTTCAGAGGCTCCCCTGTTAGTAAATTTGTAGGTTTTTGGGAGGTTTTGAGCTGGATTCCTTGGAAAATAGCTAAATGGGTTGTTGATGAGGTATATTTGGTTTGGGATTGTAAACCGGTTGGTTCAGAAGCTCTCCTGTTATGTGGTTGTAACGTGTATTATGTTAGTCCGGGACCTCGTGATCAAGTGGTAATAGGACAGGTTTGAGATGTTAGGTTTGTGATGTTAACATGTTTCAAATTCCATCTACCTGCTATATACGCAAAAAATGTTACCTTGTTTCAGTACATCCAAATGGATATGAGTCTTTGTTTTCAATCTATTTGCATATTTAAAAAAAAAAAAAAATTCATAAGCTATGGTTGATGGCGACCGGGACGATATGAATCAATGCATTTTCGTTTTGTTTTCGATGCTTTCTTTTACGCTATATTACCATATAGTCTTTTATTTCGCATTGATCGGAGTTAATGTTAAGAGTTTACGATAAAAACTGCGGAAACTTATTTTATCGTGTAAGTTTCGATCGTTCGTATGGAATGACAATAGATAACACTAAGCTCCAACCGCTCTAGTACACGAATTATTCACTTTTATTAAATATTGGAATTTGATTAGCCAGTTCAAACTCGAGTTCAAGGTTGGATTTTGTCTTGGTTAATATTGGTATTTGATCTATAAAAGAAAGTTTATTTTTTGCAATAAATATTTATCAGTTCTCATACTTATAAAAATTAAGTCTGTAATAAATCAGATAAATTAAAATCTCTGAAATTGCGTTTAAATAAGCAAACAAAAAACTTAGCATATCTCTTTAGCTTTTTATTTTTTTAAGTGTTTAAAAAGTAGTACAACATAGATAATAAGTTTACTTTTAAGTGTTTAAAAAGTAGTATAACATAGATAATAAGTTTACATATTCTATTTCAACATAGATAATAAGTTAACTCATGATTATATCACATGATTTAAAATTCGCACATAACCATCATTTATTTGTATATATTACAACAAATGATTGATAGTATTTCTTGCTTCCGTGTTTTTGTCTATTTCCTTACAGTCCTCAAAACACTTTAGTGATATATCGATTTTAAGGTATAGTGATATCTCTCTCATTCACTTGCTATCAGATCGATGAGTTTGTGGGTTTTGAATATCCTATTGACAATGTGAATGCAATTTCGCGTGGTGAGACTTCTTCAATTGCATTCTCGTGTTATTGGACAATACTCAAGCACTGAGTCACGGGAGCTTCATATACTGGTGATCGTAGAAGTTATCACACTGACTCTTACAAGTTGACAATAAGATCCAATTTTATTCACGGCTTTAGGACATCACTATCATCAATTCGTTATCTTTGAAAGCCAGAACTCGCGATATGGTTGCTTGAAGGCTTATTTTGACAATCCAACCAATCAAATAACAATACAGTAAACACAAATATTAAAAGCGAAAATTGATTTTTAGGCAAAAAAACTAATAACATTGTCTCTTTAGACTAATCTCATTTATTAATTGTCTCATTAGGATAACTACTTTAAATGATAGTAATACCTTTAAAATTTTAATTATAAATTCATAATTATATTTATTAAATAATTAAAATGTATTTAGATATATTTAATATTAAAATAAAATATATTATTATAATTCAAATAAGTAATAACATGAAAAATTCCAATCTAAACCTAATTTTTTCTCTTTCTTATCATCAACAGAAAAATTCCAACCTGAAAGTACAACCAATTCCCAAAAACCACATGAATCATAGATATGAATCATGGTAGAAACAATTTTTTTTTTGTGTGAAAATGATGTGAACAATATAGAGGATGGCGTGAGAAGAACCTTAGCACGATTTTCTTATTGTTAAAATTCAAATTTTTAATCTATGAAAACTAAATATATTTCCAAATATTTTTTTGCCATATTTTCGGAACTGATTGTTCTTATCCGTAAAATATGTATTCTACTATATGTAGAATACCGTAAACATGTTTGAAATCAATTTCTACATGTTTTAGATTTATAGTAATGTGTAGATTCTAATTTCTATAGATATTAGATTTATAGTAATGTGCAGATTTTGATTTGCAGAATTTAGAGCGTTACGTTAAGTGCGGAATGTATATTCCAAATAATTTTTGATTATTATTATTTATGTAGATCGTGTATTCTAAATTAGTAGATTTAATGAAAAAGTAGATTTCATATTTTACTTCGTAAAATGCCAATTCTAATTTCTGTAGACAAACTATAAAATTATGATTTATTAACATATCACTAAATTGATATAGGTATTACTAAAACTGGAATTACTACCATATCACTAAAACTGGAAAAAAAAATATCACTAAATTGATATAGGTATTTCATCAATAGTTGCTATTTTAATTTTTTTTGGTTTGTAAAACTATTATTTGATTTATTTTTGAAAATACTTAAGAGCATTAGATGTAAAAAATGGTACAAAATAGAAGTTAGAATAAAGGACAATGTCTATGTTTTTTTGTCTAAAAAACAATGTTTCTATGATAAAAAATAATGAGAAAAAACTAGGTGGGGGTTTGAAACAATTATAAAAATAAATATAGTTTTCGCTAAAACATCACTTATCATGAACCATATATAATAGGAGTGTTTGTTAAGATCTGGCTTTCCAAACGTTAACTATTTCTTCTTTTTACCTGCTCACACATGTTATATAAAATAACTTAGTTCACAATTTTCAACATATATTTACATTTAGGTGAACTAGATCTAACTAGCGTGGCATGCAAACTTTTTTAAATCCGTAAAAAACTTAGGGGTTTGACAAAAAAATACTTGTATCAAATTTGTTGATTTTAAAAATTGAAAGTTTTGTTAAAGTTGGAATGTGTTATCGAGAATTTTGTATATTAAGGAAATAAATTGATATAATGATTATAAGAATCTAAAGTATAGATGGTATTCTTCAAATCTTGTATTGATTGTACAAAATCATTAAAATCTAAAGTTTTTAATAACAAAAGATTATGTATAGACTACTAAATCATCAAACCAATAATACTATTAAAAAATTATAACAATCATTATAAATCTAACACTCCCTTATTGTTTGAGTTCATAAATAGCTCACAAATATATTTGATAAATATTTGGATGCACATAATTTAATTGGACTGAGAAAATTTGTTAATGGAGCTATCTCTCAGCAACGTTTAGGCAGGTGTGTTGTCCAATTAGAGAACACTGTTGAAATTCCTAATTATAAAATTTAATAATATTTGTATACTACAAAAGAAAGTACTGTGAAAATGTGTACTATTGTTACAAACTTACCATGAGACTATTATACATAAATTAAATATATAAACTATAATAAAAATAAATTAGAAATGTCATTAATTGGTGTGTGAAAACAGTTAAAACATTTAGCATACTAGTGAAGAAACTTCTTTTTATTTTCACTAGATTTTATGTATTAGTAATCCGCATAATTAAAATTCAAATCTCAGTCTTACTATGAGTTAACGTCCATTTTGTGTCACATTCAAATTAATGAAGCTATAGTATATATAGAGACGGTTAAAAGAAATCTTTTGATGCTTTTTTAGCTCCACACATTTCAAATGCTATTTTCGTAATAAATATAAACAGTCGATGTAGTATACTAAAGAATCTATTTTAAATTTCTTGTTAAATCAAGTCTATTTTAAGCATGACTAATCAGTAAAAGATATGATGGAATCAAAATATTTTTTTAATTAAGTTTGAATCAGTCATCGGCTAATTATGCAGATTTTACCAGAGCTAATTTATTTTGCATGAACGGTTGAGATTCAAAATTTAACCACACGTGAGTAAACAGTTATGACACGATGCAGCCATCTCTCTCTCTTCTTGGTTCTGTTTAAGGTTTCGTTTTCTTTTCTTCCTTAAAATTTTCTCAGAAACATTGTCTCCGTCATTTGTTCCTCACTTTCCATCAATCCTTACGGTTCCTCAGGCACTGTACTGGGAAAATCTCTGTCTTTTATTTATCTTCTCCATTAATCTCTCACTCCCAAAAATCCAGTAACTCTTTTTATTTTATTTTAGGTTTTCTCTTTATTTCAGTTTTTTTTAATCTAAATAGTTATGTAATTTCAGGTAGCATCATCGAATCTTCAATTGGAAAGGTATCAGTGGTCTCGAACGATCAGGGTACGGTTTCTTCATTTTCAATCTGATTTATTTAATTCTTAATTTTCTCATTTTTATTTTTCTAATGAGATTGAATTGGCTGGAAATTGTTACACACATATAATTAATTGTTCATATTTATGGTGTTCTTTTGGTGAAAGTTGATATGATCTGTTCACTGTTTAATCCAAAGGATGGCTATTAAAGATCAAATGGCGTAACTCTCATTTCTTGCGTCGCACGCTATGATCATATTTGTGTTTCTTGTAGAACAAGTTTCGAATAATTATGATAGTCATGCACACCGATTTCCTTTTTCCTGACAATAATGACTATGTTTCATTTCCATACAGTGTAGATCTTGAGAGAGAATGGCTTCAACACCTTGTGCAGCATGCAAGCTCTTGAGACGAAAGTGCACTCAAGAATGTGTCTTTGCGCCCTATTTCCCACCAACTCAGCCTCAAAAGTTTATATATGTTCACAAAGTCTTTGGAGCAAGCAATGTAACCAAGATCCTCAACGATCTTCCACCTCTAAACCGTGAAGACGCTGTTAATTCCCTCTACTATGAAGCCGAGGCCCGTATCCGTGACCCTATTTACGGATGCGTTGGTCTCATCTCCTTCTTACAACAATGTCTCAAGAAAATCCAACAAGATCTTGTCACTGCTAAAGAGGAGCTTGCTGGTTACATTGGACCCGATGCTGTGAATCCGCAACAGCCTTATCTTCCTCCTCTAGCCAACAACCCTCCACCTAATTTCATGATGGCTATGGAAGCAATGCCACATGGAGTGATCCCTCAAGGAGAACCATTGATCATACGCGATCCAAACATGCCTCAGCATCAACATCAACCACAAGATGAGCAGATGCAACTCATGGCTGCTGATGCACAGAGAATGGCTGCGATGATTTTGGACAGAGGAGATCAGCAAGGGATGTTCAATGCTTATGGAATAGATAACAATGGGTCTGTTACAGCCACCGGGTATAACCAGATGGATGTGAATGATCACACGGCTGGTGGGTCCTTGTCTGGACCATCTCTTGCTTTAGGAAGCTTTAGTGATGGTTATCAAATGGGTCAAGAGACAGAGCATCATATTAATCATGATCAGCTTCAGACACAGCTTATGCTTCAGCCTCCATTACAAGAAGGTCAAGAGCAAAATGAAGGACAGTTTCTGATGCAACCTATGGGACAAGAGAATCTCCATGAAGAAGAGGAGGAGGAAGAGCTTGAGCCACCGGTTAAGTGGAGGAAATCTGAGAACAAGGAAGCTAGTTATTAACTAAGACCAAGAAAATAAGACATTTTCATTTGTTGGATAGTTACTCTTCAGGGTCTAAGTTGCTTTTTCTTTTTTTTTTTAATTTAATAAATGGCATTATTCATTTCTCAATGTTTGCATCTACAGATTCAACATTCTAAAGCTGAATATGCATCACTTTTATTAAATCAGTGACCAGTTCTGTATTTTATGCAGTCAACCAAAGCAGGCAAATAGGGCATGTAGCTGCATAGTAAAACTCAAAGACAATGTTGTCAAGAGAGTTTTTTTTTTTTTTTTGTAACTGATTGTCAAGAGAGTTTTTTCTTTAAGTTTAGACCATAATCTCTCAGTTCAGCTAGGTGTGGTCGTCATGATACTTGAGGTGTTATAGAAATTACATCACGAATAACTTAATCACTGTGGTCGTCAATGTAGCGAAGAGAATCTTCCAGTTCAAAAGATAAAAAATAACTTAATCAAAATTATTAGGATATTTATTATAAATAGAGAAAGTTACAGTTGGCTATCAACAATCAGAGTGGCGCAGCGGAAGCATGGTGGGCCAGGATCGAAACCTGGCTCTGATGGGGGAAGAAGGGTTTAGAAGGATATGCGATATTCTACTAATTTGAGTTACAGTTTTACACACCCACTTTTAATTAGGTTACAAGACAGGTAAAAATCGACTCTGCTAATTTAACTTTCTTCTCTGTACCATGCTGTAACTTGTCTTCTTTTTGAAAATATTTTCATGAGTGTTTATGATTATCATATTCCTTTGACCGATCTTTAAGATTCCTCAATAGCTTTTGTACTCGATGTCTATTCTTCTCCCACAACTTCGGAACTGTCAAGCCAATCGCCAAACCTACAAATGCCAAAGATCACCAGGAAACATGAATTACATATTTATATTTTCATACCATATTCGTAAGATATTCATAGTATTGTTTTTTTTCCCATTGATGTTTTTGACATTTATAACATAAATGTTTAGTTTTAAGAAATACAGTCGCATGTTTTCGCCAAAAAATACAGTAGATGTTTTTATTCTTTAAAAAGTTACTATTTAGAGACACTACATTATTACTATTACTATTACTAGGAAACAAACTAGGTCATTCGCGCGGACATATAAACATTTTAACTAAAATTTTAAATTATTTTAACATTATTAAGTAAATAGCTAATATTTATAGTTTTTATTTAATTATTCAATTATTTTTTATGTTTTCATTTATCTCACATATTTATTAACTTTTTTTTATCATACACAAACTTTGCGAGATATATAATATATGTACATTTTATGTGATGAAAACAAAATGAAAAATAATATAAAAAAATCCAAATTAAATAATTTAACTTTAAGAAAGAGAAAAAAATAGGAAATTCCATCTCTCTCAAGTTTTTTTTATCATTTTTGGCTTCTAAAAAATCATTTCTGCAGAGGATTTATAATTTACTAATAAATGTATCATTCATAAATTAAAAATGAAATGTGAATGAGTATGTCGTTCAAAAATTAATAAAAACATTTGAAAAAGTGTGTCATCAATACTATTAAAACAGAAGCACTTTTTATCTACTTGCAAGTAGTATACCTCAAAACATTACATTTATTTAATTTTATGTTATGTTACATACAATAAATTTAATTAGTATTAAATAAACACATAATATTAATATAATATTTAAATATATTCAAAATAAGATATCAAAAAGATACTCTTAACTACTTTTTTAGATTACATTTTAACAATATCTTTAATACACTTTTATTTTAAAAATAGATATTTATTTTTTTAATATAATTTTAATAATAAAACGTAAAATAATATAAAATTAAATTACAAATGAATATCAACTCATTTTGATTTATAGAATAAGAAATAACCTTCTATAAAATTTACATATAAATATTTTATATTTGTAACTAAAAATTATACAATATCTTTAATATATTTTTATTTTAAAAATAAACATTTATTTTTTTAAATTTATATTAATAATAAAAAACCGAAAATAATATTAAATTAAATTATAAATGAATATTAACTCATTTTGATTTATAGAATAAGAAATAATCTTCTATTAACATTTATATATAAATATTTCATATTTGTAATTAAAAATTACACAAAATAATAATTATAATATAAATTAATCAACTTTATAAATTATAAACTAAATGAATTACATTTACAGAATAACAAAATATTACCATAAGATATTTAAAAAATAAATAATTTTATATATTAATATACATATCTAAATTAAAACAATAGGAGTTAAAAAATATTTAATTATATGTAACTGGTACACGAAATAATAATAAACAAATTCTTCAAACCTCCACCAATGCATAATAATATAATTATCATATATAAAGTCTTAAAATCGTTTATATATATATATATAATAATAAATATTAATAACAGCTACTATTAATATTTAATTATATGATGAAACATGTTATTACTGAAATTTTGTATGATTATAATTTTATGGGTTATTCTAATAAGCATACAAAATATTTATCAAATATAAAATTAATTTAACAAAATATAAAAGATAATTTAAGTTATGCTTGGGAGTTCAAGTACCTATTGAGATACGAGTTGAATATTTTGAATCAAAGTTAAATTATATCACATCATCTGTGTCATAATTTGTAAGTAGGCATGTTTGTAAGTATCGATCAGATTCAAATATAGCACATCGGGTTTGGTTCTAATTTGTACACATCCTAAAACTGATAAAGTAACCATATATCTTTCGGATTAGTGTTATATTAGTTTGGAAATCTAAAATATAAAACCATAACAAAAAGATACTTATTTTTATAGAATTAATATTAAAGTACTTATTTAAAATTTAGATAATTAATTTTAAATATCATTTTAAAATAAATATAAAACTCAATATTTGAACTAGATATTTATGTTTCAAATATTCATATTTATGATTAATTTGGACATTCAGATCGATTCATTTTTTCAGATTTTTCGGATTTTGGGTTATTCGTTCGGTTAGGGTCTAGCTAACGACACTTTGATTCGGATATATTTTGTACCACCCTACAAAACTCATTCTGATATATTTTAGATTTTTGACTGGTTACGGATCCAAATTCTTTTGTTTAGATTAAGTTTAGACGTCGAGTTATGGATTTTATGCACATGTCTACTTTATATAAAATAAAAATGCGGTCATATATAATTTTCACCGAAAGATTATGCTATATTTTTTAAAATACTATGTTTGATGAAATCAATGAATTAAAAAAATTCTATCCCACATTCTACATGTATAGCAAATGTGATTATAAAATTTGCATCAAACATAAACACGCGTTTTGAAAGCGCGGGTCAAAATCTAGTCTAATCTATTAAAATAGAGTCCTACTTTATCTACTTATAATTAGTCTAGGTTGTACCATATCTTTTATTTAGTTTTTAATATTTTTCATATAACAAATTTAGTTATTATTAAATAAAAATCTTAATATATTATTTAAATATTTTCAAAATCAGATATCAAAAGATATTACCAAGATCTTTTCTAGTATTGGATTTTGAAAATATCATTTAATATTATTTTCTATAAAATATAAATATTTATTGTTTAATATTGATTTTAAATATTAAAATCATAATTACTTTTAATATTATTACAATTAATGTTAATTCATTTGGATTTATTAAATAAGAAATATCATTTCTATAATATTTATAAATACATAATTCATATTCATAGTTAAATGACTACAATAAATAATATATATAACATAACTTAATTTCAATTATTTTATAAAATATATATTAAAATAATTACATATGCATGACAACATATATTAATAGAGTTTACAACATACTTCAATTTATTAATGAAAAATATTAAAATATATATTAAAAGAATAAAAAAATTATATTTAAATATTTTTCTTTGCTAAAAACAATTTTAAGTTTTTTTATTTGATTATACAGTATATTGAATTATATATTATGGTTTACAATTATAGTTTCTTACAGTTTATTTTATAAATATGAAACATTTATCAAGTATGAGAACGGCTGAATGCCATATAACTAATTTATATTATAATAAATATTCATTTAATATTATAGTAAAATAAACTTTGATGAATAAAGAAAGAAAAAATAATTTCTTAGTATGGATCATGTCAGGATATTACATATCGGTTATGATTCTAATTTTTATCACATCCTACAATCCACATAAAGTAACCATATGTAGTTCGGATTCGAGTTATAATAGTTTGGTTTAGAAATATCTGAAGTTAAATCCAAAATTTAAAATCAAAACATAAGAAGCAAATATTTATTTATAAAAAGTTGGATATTTAAAATATTTAATTAAAATTTAAATACTTATTTCTAGATATACTTTCAAAATAAATATAGAATTAAATATTTGAATTTTCTGAATCGGTTTTAAATACTTAAGTTTTGACATTGGGATCGGTTTTTGATTTTCGGAATTTTCAGCTTTGTGGGTTACTCGGACCGGCACAGATCGAGTTTTTATTTTAGGTCGATTTAGACTTTGGATTCTAGATTTGATACCCAAAATTACTTTAAATACAGACAAAAAACATTTATATAAAGTTTTCATCAAAAATTATTGATGGATTGGAAAGCGTGGGTCAAAATCTAGTTCATAATTAAAAGAAGCATTTGAGAGGTTTCATCATTCAAAAATTAAAAGAAGCGTGTAAACGGATGCATTAGAAAATGATGTGTTATTTACTATAACGTTTGATCTCTCACTCTCTCTTTTCAAAAGATCCACCCTTCAGAAAATGCCTTATTTTTTCACATATATCGGTCACCTCTCGTTCGATGTTTCAAGAGTTGTCTATCAGTCGTTGATAAAAAAAATACCAGTCTAGTATGGTTCATTGAAAAAAAAAAGTATTTTCAGTTTTTGAAATTTTAAGAGAATAAACAGTACATTCTAAATTTGAGTGTACACTCTTTACATCCGTAAAAAAC